TTGTGATTGTGATTGTGTACTATTATCTCAATCAGAGTGTCAATGTTTGATTGTGTACTATTATCTCATGTGATTGTGATTGTGATTTTGTTTCAGCCCCATTTTCTATCAGACATAAGGTATATCCAAAAAGGTAACAGTGTACCAATATAATCGAAACCACATGAGAAAAGAAATATATTTAATTCAAGACAATGTTGCTTACATTTAATGCTTTTTCAATTCCAGGAATGAGTGAGCCAATGTGGTCTGCAAGACAGTTGGGCAAGACAACCACGAGTTCTTTCAAAACAGAAAAGGCACCAACCTGCATAGGCAACTATGCTTAAAATCTGGAGACTTAAATAAATATCAACTTTTACTGACCACTACCTTTGTTTTGATAGATTTCTCCCGCAACTGCCTATTGATAGATTTGACAATCTTTGACAGTTCTTGCTTCAACAACCATTTAGGACTGCATTGCATGTCAGTGTTAAGACAGTCAATTCGTGCCACACATTGAGTTATGAGGTAATAATTGTAAAAATTGGGCTAAACAAAAGGAAACGTTGAGAAAGCTTGTTAACCCATATTTATTTTAAGATCTGAATGCATATTCATATATAAACAAAGCCGTAGCTAAACTATTCAGATCATATGCAAAAATGAGTATTTCAGTATATATTCATCTTAAGGAACCATTTTCAGATGTAAAATGTGTAGTGTTACATTTGTAAAAGCAGCAATGAAGCCATAGATACCAGTCATAACAGAAGTGCTCTAAGATAACAAATGAAGTAGGATTCAAATTTCAAATCTCAAGGGAGCTACTGGTTCTTCTAGAAAACATCCTGTTGGAATTATTATAGCAAAACTGAATGTTTATTTCACTAGGAAGAACACTCTTTTTATAGGACAAAGACATCAACTCCTTAAACTAAGGAGTGATATACTCAGCAATAAATAATAGTAGGTCTTTACGACATTGTTTTTCAGCAGCATTTACAATGTAACAGTGTACCAATATAATCGAAACAAGACTAGACAGTCTAACCAATGAAACCAAAACAACACCTAATGGAAATAGCAGAATACCAGCAATAACAACCAAATAAAAGAAGCAGTAGCAAATTATAGACTGTTATAATTCCTGCAAATCCGATCTGATTTACTCAATGAATCAAGTGAAAACCAGAACAGCAACAACATGTTACAATATCCACATAATTACCAACCTATTTATAATAATCTAGATACAAAAAAAAATCATCATACAACTAGTATTAAAAATACATAGAAACATTTCATCAAACATTTATAGTGCAATAAAGGATTTCTGTAAAAACTACACACCTAAACATTTCATCAAACATTTAGAGTGCAATAAAAGAATTCCAAAAAACATATCAAAAACACATTGAGACATTTCATCAAACATTTAGAGTGCATCAAAGTAAAGGCTTCAATTCAATTAATAAAAAATACAACAAATTCAGCAACATGTATGCATAGAATATCAAGATGTTCAAACAAAAGCAAAAAGTATTGTCAGTTTATTACCTTTGATTGAGAATCTAATCAAGTGGCGATAGAACGACAAAATTCGGTTCCCGTTTTGTGGTAACTGGACGAGTTTACTACGTGGGGCTTCTTTAAAGAGTAGCTAGCTATGTTTCCACCTTCCTACAGCTCATAGAAATCCCAAATATAATTCTGAGGGGGAAAAAAATGGAACAGACAAGTCATAAGCTACTTCAAGCAAAGTTATTGCCATTTTCTTGGGGTAGTTTAGTAAAATGGAAAAGACAATTTGTTTAAAATTTTTTTTTTCTTTTACTCCAAAATTTTTGGATAATAAATCAATATTTTTATTTTATTTTATCATCTTTTATATTATAAAATTGAATTGAAAATTAATAAATTGATCTCTAGTATGATAATCTAGTTATTTCATTAAAATATTTTAATACACAAAATGAATAAAAGCCTTTTTATATAAAATAACAAAATTGAAAGGATTATATATAAATTGATCTCTAGTATAATAAAAGGATTATTTTATTAAAAGGATCAATTGATCTCTAGTTTAATAAAAGCCTTTTTATCATTTTTAAATTATAAAATTGAATTAAAAATTAATAAATTGATCTCTAATATAATAATTTAGTTATTTCGTCAAAATATTTTAATACACAAAATGAATAAAGGCCTTTTTATATAAAATAACAAAATTTGATGAAATAACAAATCTGAAAATATTTTTATATTATATATATTTTATTAAAAGGATTATATATATTATAAAAATATATGTTATCAACTAAGTAAATGGATTATTTTATTGTCTTTTTAAATTTTAAATTAAAAAAAATTATAAGTTGAAGGATTACAAATCAATTGTATCATAAACTTATATTTTAATTTTTCTAATTTTTACTACAATAAAAAAATATTAAATAAATAAATTTTCTTTAAAAAATAACTAAAAAAAGTCAATTAATATTATAAAACCTTTTTAAGAAAAACAAAAATTTAATATAAAATTAAAAAATTTCTGAGAAACATATTTTAGAATCATTATTTATTTTATAATTTTATTTATTAATCGTAAAAATATAACAAAAATAAAAATAAATTAAATAACGCAGCAAAAGTCGCAGAAATATTTACAGCAAATTCCGCAGCAAATCTCGCAGAATTCCTGCGATATTACCCGAGACTTTTGTGGTTTTAATAGATAATTAATTCCTGCGAAAGAAATCGCAGGCAATTCCGAAGGAAATATATTTTTTAATTTTAATTCTAAAATCGCAGCAAAAATCTCAGAAATTCCTGCGAGATTTGCTGCTACCATATTTTACGCAGGAAATGATGTTTCACAATATAGAAGCGCAGGGAAAATCGCAGGCATTTCTGCGAAACTTTTCCGCAGGTAATCTGTCTATTTCTATTTGTTTCTTCTTGCAAAATATATTAGATTAATCATTATAATTTTATTGAGAGTTTCACAATTTAATTGGAAGTTTCAAGAGAAAGAGTTTTTTCTAAAAAGTTGAACTAATACATCGGAATACAGCATTGAAAATGTCACCGTGCATTGGAATAAAACATCATTGAAATATAAAAATAGTAGGAAAAGAGAGGGATTAGTGTTAGTTTAGGATGATAAAAATTAATTCACATACGATTTATATTTTGTTATTGTTTTTCCAAAACGACTTAGAATAAAAAGTAGACATCATGCACTACTGAATTGCACAGTTTACCTGCGGAGTATCCTGCGGAAATTTTCCCGCAGAAAATCCTGCAATTTCGGCTGCGCCTTTATATTGTGAAGCATTAGTTCCTGCGATAAATAGGATAGCAGAAAATTTCGCAGGAATTTCTGAGACTTTAGCTGCGATTTTAGATATAAAAAATAAATATAAATTTCATGCGGATTTAGCTGCGAGTTCTTTCACGGGATTTAGTTATCCTTTAAGACCACAAAATTCTCTGGAAATATCGCAGGAATAGCTGCGAGATTTGCTGCGGTATTTGCTGTAAACCTTTCTGCGACTTTTTCTGCGAATTATTTAGTTTATTTTTAGTTTTTGTTATATTCTTACGATTAATAAATAAAATCATAAAAGACATATTGATTCTAAGAATATGTTGTTGAGACATTTTTTTATTTTATATTAAATCTTTGTTTTTCTTAAGAAAGTTTTATAATATTAATTGAGTTTTTTTTATTTATTTCTTAAAGAAGATTTATTTATTTAATATTTTTTTTATTGTTGTAAAAATTAGAAAAATTAAAAATATAAGTTTATGATACAATTGATGTGTAATCCTTCAACTTATAATTTTTTTTTAAAATTAAAAAGACAATAAAATAACCTTTTTATTCAATTGATAACATATATTTTTATATTATTTTATATTATATATAATCCTTTTATTTATTTTGTGTAGTAAAATATTTTAGTGAAATAACTAGATTATTATGCTAGAGATCAATTTATTAATTTGCAATTCAATTTTACAATTTAAAATATGATAAAATAAAATAAAAATACTAATTTACCATCCTAAAACTTTGGAGAAATTCTTACAAGAAAATATTTAGATTATGACACTTAAGTTAGGACGGTTTGATTCCAATTGTCCCAATGTGTACTTTGAGACCGTTCATGTGATAGTTTTTAGTAATCCTCGCAAGTTTTTATTTGAAAACCACATGTGTCAAACGAAATTTTAGAAATATACTATACTTTTCTTAATACTGATTTAAAAATATTGATTAAAAAATTATCTTATTGAAAAAAACAATGCCACTTTATATTATCACAAAACTAAAAACAAATATAATAAAAAAAACCCAACCTCTCACTAATTCATTCTTCCCGAAACTTCCAAAAAAATCCAATCGTTCCAAAAATCATACAAATCAACTTGTTCCAAACATCCAATCCCTAATCCTCTGTTTCAATTTCAAAAGCTGAAGCTTTTTTGAATCATCATCCACAAATTTGTAAACCCTAAACTGAAACCAAATCCAGACACCAGTTTATCATGTAAAAGGAAAAACCATTACTCTCATATGAAACGAATATAAGATTCACCACTTCTCAACTTTCTGCCAAATGAAAATTCATGTTTACAACGGCCATGGCTATCCTCTCATTCTTAATTTGGTATGTTTATCTTGTCCACACTTCACATATTCTTCTTTTTTGTTGTATTTCTTACTAATAGAATTGAAGCCTTTTACTTTGATGCACTCTAAATGTTTGAAGAAATGTCTCATAGTGTTTTTAATATGTTTTCTGAAATTCCTTTATCACACTCTAAATTTTTGATGAAATGTCTCATAGTGTTTTACTTTGATGCACTCTAAATGTTTGATGGAAACTCCTTAGCCCAGCAATACCTGAAATTATGGTCTACTGGTGCTCCTGCAGCTCTTTCATTAGCAATGCAGGGAGTTTTTCAAAGATTTAAGGGAGTTTTGTGGATATGATTCATCTGCTTCTATGGCTGCAGCAGTGATGAATTCAAGATCTTTAGCCTTTGTGACACGAAGCCAAAGTTTTATGGATCGCGGTGTGGCACGACACCATATCAGTGCTTCTGAATCCAACAAAAGGATGAACTATGGATTTTCTGACTGGATGTCTCATGATGGGGATGATCTGAACAAGTTCAAAAAATTCGCTTCTTTTAGATTTAGAAATACTATGGCAGGTGTGTCACAGCCAGAGTATGTTAAACCGGATGTCCCTTGGGTTCATTCTTTGGTTTCTTCTGAGAGTTCTGAGATATTTGCTGCTAAGAAGCAGAATTATGATCTCTATAAACATTTGTCATCACCGTGGGCAGAGCAGATTGTAGCATAAAGTGCCTCTTGAGTTTTCTTACTAAGTATCATTATTATCTATTTATTAATTGTTAATTGAAATGTTGTTAGCATTCAAATTACACAAGAGTATAGTTGGATATAGAAAGAGAGATGTTGCTAAGAAAAAATTTCATGCTTGTCTAGGGAATTGTACAACAGGGATATTTTCTTCTTGTTCAAGGGAAGAGTTTATCACATAATGATACCTTAGATTAATTAGTTGGTTAGATTATCCTGTTATTAGCTGTCACCTTCAGCATAGTAATTAATTTTCTGTAATTTGTCCTTTTTGCATGCGGAGTCTACCACGGCGTTGCAGAAGAAGCGAAGCAAAAGGGCACTATTGTCCACTTTTGCAAACTTCGTAACGTCGTCGTTAACGGTTATTCCTCCGGTGATGGTCAACAAAAAATCCCCCTCGACGGTCACCGGTAACAGAGATTAAGAGCTTCTCATCCCTGTCGCTAATTGCGGCGTTGACACCGGTGCTTCCAAGCCGTCGTCGTCGGCCTCCTTCGTTCATCATGCCGGACGCGAGGTTATGCTTTTTCCCTTCTCTATTATAGGGTTTTAATTCTTCATCACTATTGCTTTATTCTGTTGCATTTCGAAGCATTTGATTCATCTATAAACCATGCGTGCTTATCTGAATATGTTAGTTTCAGAGGTTTCTTTGTCTTAGATTTGGTACTGTTATAAGGATCAATTGAATTGAAACTATTACTTTTTATATCACCTGATGAACCTGTTGTCACCTTTGAACTGAGAGCATCAATGTTAGTTCTTAGCTCTAGTAGAAACCATTAGTGTTGTTAATTAATCCCTGATTGCAAAAAGAAGAGGTTTGTTCGAAATCCACTGCATGACGGTGCTTATGCCGCTATTTGACAACACTTTTGTACTAAATAGAGTAGGGAATCATACTAATTTCTCAACTTCTGCTACCTATAGCTGCTATTTAATGACACTTAAATTCACAACAAAAATCTAGCATAAGTTACTTTTTTCCTGGTTTGGGTTATGTATCTTTTCAAGTTTCTTAATTTGGAAGAGTTTGATACATTGAAGCTGGTTTTAGCAACACTCCGAGCTGGTGATTAATAAGTCCGATTCATATATATTTTGCAATTTTTTTTTGTTTTTGTGAATTTGAAAACCTAAGCCTAGCATGAGTTATCATATTGACTTTTTTGCATGAAAGAATTTATCTTAAGTATTTGTCTGACAGATTGCCATGTGTTGTTTTGTCAATTTGTAGACTTTTTCTATAGTTGTTAGGAGTTGGGCATCAAAAATGTTCATGACTGGATGGTGAGCCTTTCTTTCTTGAACCTAATACCTTGTCATTTTACATTCTTACACGTCAAACTAGTGCACACGCTACACCTTAATCTTTCACTATCGCATCTTATTGTTTCCTGAAAAAAGCTATTCTTTTGTTTGAGATGAATAGCATGAAATGAATTCATTTTCTCTAATTCTTTTATCTACATTTAGTTTATGCTGCCATCTTGGTGTATAAGTGTTTGTATCATGAATCTAATGTTACCATTACATGATAGTTAAGCTTATCTCTTCTACTAAGATATAAGAAACTTTGCTACTTTGCTAGTTATATAGTGTTTGTGTATGGACACTGGAAAGTAGTGGACAAGTCATTTTTGGCAAATGAGGAATGGAATAAAAAACCTACAAACTCAAAACCTATGACAAAATAAGCAAAGATTCTGAATCCTCCTATTTTCTCTCTCTGACTGGAACCACCACGACACCCGGGCAACTAGATTAGTATTGCAGTATGTGATTTCTTATTGCATTCTTCGTTTTTGTTTAGGCCCATCAGAGTCAAGAATATGCACAGTGTTTGCATGCTTTACATCAGCAATAGATCATGTAAATTAATCCTTATTGTTCAAAACTGTTAGTTAGCCCCTTTTAAGATGTAATTAGTAATTCTATATGTATCTTCATTTCGCATCACCTCACTTTTTTTCAGTGTTAACTTTTATGCACAGTAAATAGTTGCTTTTGCTTTAATTGTGTTGCAGGGTTCCAACTTTGGATGGAACGGTTCTACATTCTAAATTCCATGTTAGTTTGGTTACTCATGGTGCCTTGAATGTTGAGTGGAGTCTTCATTATGTTCCGTTTCTACTTATATTTCTATATTTGATGTCATAACATTAGTACTTGAGGTTTCTGGTGGCCTAAGTGAATCATGGAGTCAATTTGATCAACTGGTAAGCTAGTACCACCATTAAGAAGAAGACGACCAAGATGAAAGGGAGTTGGGAGCGAGATAAAAATCCATTTTGAAAACTGCCGATAAGGAAAGAAGTGTCTTGGACGTGCTGGAAATGTGATTGACAAAGGGAGTTTGTCTGGTGTCGATGTCGGTGTTGTTGTTGGACTCATACATCGCGTGTGGAGGGAAAACACGAACGAATGATACGGGGACTACTGCGATTGTGGCAGCGCAGAGGGTCGCACGATGGTTGTTACGACGACGCATAGAGAACAGCGGCGCGGCGGTGGTTGATGTGGCACAGATAGAACAAAGGCGCGACAGTAGATGTGGTTTGTTGGTTGGGAGAGAAAAAAATGATTGATTAGAGTAATACCATATTATTATTTTTGTTAACTATCAATCAGTATATGACATTGGGTCAACTATCAATCATTATATAGTTTTTAATTAATTTTGTTGGACAAAGTGATTATTAGTAACTTGATTGTGTCATTTTTAATAATATAACTCTGAAGTATTGTTATTGACTTTATAGTTATGTTTGGTTGCTTTAAAAATTTGAATGTGATTAGTGTTTTATTGTCTTATTAAAATTATATATTTAACAATAATTATAATATTTTAAATACAAATTAAACAAAATTAAGAACAAAAATTAAAAACATGAGAGAGAAATTTCTTGCGAGTTTACCTGCGGAATATCAATTTGCTGCGACTTTTCCTGCGAAAACTAGATTTACCTGCGTTATTTTCTGCGAATTTATCTATTTTACCTGCGACTTTTTCCTGCGACCCTTTTCTGTGAGATTTTCCTGCGACTTCGCCTGCTATATTAGTTTTAGCTGGGAACAGAAAATAGCATGAAGAATGCAGGTAACACCTTTTCTGCGGAAGTTTTATCAAAATCCGCATGTAAATCCGCAGGAAAACCGATTTCTAGTAGTGAATATCAAATTATAAATTTAGAGTGATACTTAATTATATCTTTAAATATAGTGATATATTAAAATGGAAATCTAAATTAGTAGAAAAACTTATAAAAAGTTAGGCTAAAATAAATTTAAAAAATTTTAAATCTAATAACATAAATTATTATCTATTTAATAATAATTTAAATAAAAAAAATAATAAAAATTTACCTATAATAAAAAATTATTCAAAAGTATATATATATATATATATATATATATATATATATATATATATATATATATATATATATATATATATATATATATATATATATATATATATATATATATATATATATATATATATATATATATATATATATATATATATATATATATATATATATATATATATATATATATATATATATATATATATATATATTTAAAAAAACTTGAAAAAATTAAATAAAATTAAATTTTAAGAGATCTTTAAGTCGTTCGCTTTATAAGAGATTTACTTCAATATTCTAATTAATGCTATTTAGTAATAAAGGAAAAAATTGATTAATTTTAAAAACTATTCCATGTGGGAGCCATGTTGATTAAAATAGAAAATATGCATAAAATGTTGAATCATTAAACATTGTTATTTCTAAAAGGTTTCATCATCGCTCGGCCACACAACATTATGTGCATAAAATTGGAACCAGTATTATATATAATTTAGTGTTATATTTATATACATATATATATATATATATATAGGGTGTTGATTTTTCACAGAATCACACAAAAATTGTTATGAATTTGTTAGATTTATTACTTGAAAAATGATGACAAAAAGGTTTTGTATGTGCTTGAGATTAAGTGGAAAATATGGATGAAAAAGTTAGTTAGATTCAAATTAAGAGCAATACATGGTTTGAGTCAAAGAACGAGCGAAGTGGAATAAAAGAAAAACATAGTTTTGCCCCATTTTTAGTTGATTTGAATCATGAGCAAAGTCTGATTCGAATAAAAAACATTGTGATTCAAATCATGTGTTAATTCTTATTTGAATCAATTCAAGCAGAGCCAGCTAAAAAATGTGAGAAAAAGTTCTGATTCGAATCAAGTGTAAAGTTTGATTCAAATCAAATCAAGTTAAGGTGACCCAAAATTGCCTGATTTGAATCATGTGTAAATTTTGATTTGAATCAAAGTGTTAGAAAATCTCTAGTTTTCCTCTATCCAAAGTGATTCGAATAAGAATGTATGCTTGATTCGAATCAAACACACAAAATATCAAACTTTCATAATTTTCAGAAGAATTTTGAGATTTTTCTTTCCAAGTAACTTGAATCAATAACATATATGGCTCTTCTTCCACGGATTCATTCAATTTGGCAAAAAGCATTATTATCAAGTTCAAATCCAACCAATGGTTTATGCTTGCTAAAAGAGAATTATTTCAAAACTTTATTCAGAGAGGTACAATCATGTAGGAAACTCAATAATAGAAAGTAAATCAAAATTAAAGTGATAAGACAGACAACAAAATAGCCATATTAGGGTGCTCCCCTTAATGTATTAGGGATATGAAACTAAAAACATTTCCCTGACTTTTAAGGCGGTATTTTCCTTCGAGAATGAGGGTTTTGATACAAAGAGCTTTATGTGGAATCACATTTACTTCCCCACAGACTTGATATAGGTTCATCTTCTTAAGGTGTTCATGCTGAAACAAGCGATGTTTAACACTTATAGCCAATCATACATTAATGTTAAAAATCTAAAAACTTGGGTGAACAACATAAATGAGACGCTCATTTAGGCCCAAAAACTGTTGAAGTCTAC